CCAGAGAAGGAGAGGGACACACCCAGAGAGACACAGAGACAGAGCAAGAGAGAGTAAATTAGGAAATAATGGCATGCCCCTTCATCGAGGATCCTGTTGATGAGGAGGCCCACATTGTCCAGAGGGCCTTCCAACCACCACCAGCCCCAAGGGTCTTCCAGGACAGGACCATACCATTGATACAGACAGACTCCTATCTGTGGGAGAGGTACCGGTTCAGCAAGCAAAGCATAGTGTATCTATGCAGTTTGCTGGAACCACACATTATAAAGGTCACACGCAGCAGCCAGTCTCTGACCACTGTGCAGTCAGTCTGTATTGCACTGAGGTTCTTTGCTAGCGGTACATTACTGTATAGTGTTGGTGATGCTGAGAGGCTAAGTGAGGCAACTGTTTGCAGAGAGGTAAAAAGGATGTATTTTCTATTTCTTTTTGATTATTTCTAGCATCACCATACATCATGCATAGGGCTTGATTTGTTCACATTAACATATGGTTATCTTTTATATTTATGAATTAACCATGACACAAAGCAACCACATTAAAATGGGACACACACCGTTGTGGTTTGTCTGTTCCTCATCCTATAGCACATTTCACACATTTAAGGGGATTTTCCTTATTTTGATATAATAGGATAGAGCTTACAAGTGACTCCCAAATGATTAGAAATAGATAACTGATTCACTCCCACCTGCATTCACTTAATAGGTTTCCTCATCTCCACTGAATTGATGAATTTGCTAAATGAAATTTTCTACAATCAATAGATTAATGTCATGTGATTATTTCCTATAAACTGATCATTTCTGAAATGTCATAATCTACAATCAATGATGTGATAAATGTGATGATTCACATACAATAGTTTGATTAAATGCATCATTTGAACTTTACATAGGAATCAGTAGATAAATGTGATAAATAGTCTATCACTAATATTAATTAACACATTTGGTGAATTTCATTAGGCATACTTGAATTGTTAGATTTAATAGGTGTTCTTATCTACATATATTTTGTCCCTTTGATGTGGGATTTATAGAACATGATATTACGCTGAAATGCTGAATTTTCTTTGTCACTTACGCATTTAGCCTGTCAGCAATATTCCGCCATGCCATCTCCCTTGCTTTATTAATTGCTGCAGTATTGCCTTTTTTCTTAATCATGTCCTTATAGTCCTCATACACTTCCATAAGGAGCATTTGCTCCGCTGCAGAAAAAGCCTCTGCTTGCTCCTTTCCTTTGCTTTTTGACATTCTGCAACATGTTCAGCACTCGACTAGTGTGGGCTTTTTATTTTCCCTGGGCGCGTGCATGAGTTGAGTATTAACAGGTGAGGCTTGAATTAGTGTCAGTCGGAGCCAGCTGATTTCACTTGATGGAACGGGTTGGCGCTAGATTGGGAATTGGCGTTTAGTCAAACTTCAAGATTACACCTTAGTCTGGATATTCTTAGCTACGTTGATGGAATACCCTCCTGGTTCGTATGTTCCGGCGTCTAAATCCATTGGAAAACCTACAAGTTGAAGCTAAAACTGATAAATAATAATAGATGCAACGCTCCTTGAATTGTTCCACATCAGTTTGAAAATAGATCGTCTGCGCATGCACTTACCATTAAACATATGATGATTTTAAAGACAGCGCCTCCAGTGGTGGGAAGACTGAAGCACTTCTTTCAGTTTACCGTAATATTATCATTAGTATGTCGCAAATGAAAACCAAAGTTTCAGTAAAACTGAACAAAAACTACATGAAAAATACACAATTAACTTGCTTATCATTTTAGCAAAATATCATATCCATAAAATTATTTGGCTTAAAGGACGGCCCTCCTTTTACATTTTTAAAGATACCAATTTTTTAAACATACTTTACTGCTGTTGAAAATTTAAAACTCAAAAATTATAAATTAGCAAAAATAAAAATTATATTGTTTAGACATTTTAGTTTTATTCCATTTGTTATACAGACCCTATATTCTCTCTTTCCCCTACATTTTATTTATTTATTGTGCAGTTGAATTTATTTTTACATTATTTTTATACTATAAAATATATTTTATATAACTTTTATAATGAAAATCAAGAAACATATATATACTTCATGTATTTCTTGTATCCTATAAAGTCTGAAAAAAAACCCAAAACACTGATGTAAAAGTACAAAGTTAACATTCAGGAAATAAAATTCACCCAATAATAAACACACTGCAGTCGTACTGGCTCATCAGCCCAATCAAAAACTTTATTGACATTTTGATGTTGTCATTAGCCCAAACTAACCCCTACAAAGACAGTGTCATTATCCTCAGTTGCAAAGATATCGTTTCTGTCAGCCCCCCAGAGTTGCACATAGACCTTGTCGTTCTTAGACAGCTTTATCACACTGCCCATACTTGCCACTTGGCTACGCTTATCATGCAGAGTGGTGTGATACAGAGACACCACCTTCTCTCCATTTTTGTTTATACCACACTGTCCACACCCATACACAGACACATACACAGTGAAGTGATAGAAGCCATCCATGGGGCAGGTGAAGATGCCTGTGCCAGGACTGTAGCCTCCTCCCTCGTTGACCAGCACGGTGGCAAACTTGAGGACTCCACGGTATTTTGGGTAGCTGTCATCGATATTCAGCTTGGCTGTGAAGGCTACAGTACCTGGAGTGGGCAACATTAGATCAAAGACATAACAAGGTTGTAAAACTTAACCTAGTTTGTCTGTGACACAACAACAAAACACTACACTGCAGTTATTTAACCTTGCATTTGGGGAGGTGAAATGTTCTTTACAACCAAGACAGAACATAAGCCTATGTTTCTTTTTATTTAAATTGTCAGTACATTTCATTTTACTATCAATAACTTATAGTGCACAGAGAATTTAAGTTGTACTCTGATTTAAACCTTAATATTCTAATTGAATAATACTCTCTGCAAAGGCACCACTCACTCAATTCAACAATAGAAGTGGCATTACCCATAAAAAACATAACAAAAGGATGCAAATATTCCAGACATTCTTTCACTTTATGTGACTCATTTACACTTTTTGGCACGCTAACTTTAATGAAGTTTTGATGTCTGAGACAGTAGAAGCCACTGTAGGACGGTGACAAATCTCTTGAGAGATAACATTCAATATGTGAAGACTACCCCCCTCTAATTAACCCCCATGTCCTAAAATTTGCATTAGATTAGTAGTTTTAATATATCTAAGTCTGTTATGTATAATGCACATAAGTGTCACAGCACCCTGCAGGTTGTAGCACTGCTGTTTGCGCTGACATCTTTGTTACCTGTTGAAGAACTGCTGTCTCCTCGGCCTGGTTCATCAGCCATGACAAATACTTCCTATGATGTCGTAGTGCACTGTTAAAAACAGTAAGTGTAATATCTCGATGGTGACAACATAATATCAGTAATTTACCTGTCTGTATGAATGGTACAAATCTAACCTGGGAAAAGAGTGTCTTACCTTTTGCTGCTTTGCAGGGGAATGCTGCAAGTGTCATAAAGATAAGTGGAGCCACCCTCTGAAGTTGCTCATCTGGTTTCAAGCTGCAACCTATTTATACAGTTTGAAAGCTCTTCTTCAGAACATTTAAATAAAAAGGGGGGTGGGGACTAGGAAATAATTTTTGTGTAAATGTCTTTTTTGGAATCTAAGGAAACTAGTGGACATCTACAGTCCCAGATATTTAATGTTATGACTGATAAACTTTATTATTTTTTGTGAATAAATACTAAACCTGAATTTGATGCCTGCAACATGTTCCAAAAACTTTGGTACAAGCAAGGGCATGTTAATCACTGTGTTACATCACCTTTTCTTTTGACAACACTCAGTAAGTGTTTTGGAACCGAGGACACTAATTGTTGAAGTTTTAAAGTTTGATATACAACTTCAGTGGCTCAACAGTCTGGTGTCTCCGTTGTCGTATTTTGCACTTTATAATGTGCTACACATGTTTAATGGGAGACAGGTCTGAACTGCAGGCAGGTCATTCTAGTATCAACACTCTTTTACTATGAAGTCACGCTGTTGTAACATGAGCAGAATGTGTCTCATTGTCTTGCTGGAATAAGCAGAGATATCCCTGAAAACCATGTTGTCTGGATGGCAGCATATGTTTCTCCAAAACCTGCATGTACCTTTCAGCATTCATGGTGCAGTCATAAATGTGAAGTTACTCATATCATGGGCACTAACACACCGCCATCATCACAGATGCCTGCTTGAAAGTCGTGATGGTAACAATCTGAATGCTCCTTTTTCTCTTCAGCAAGGAGGACACAATGTCCATGATTTTCTTGGGCTCGGGCCCAGAAAAGTCAGCAGTGTCTTTGGATGATGTTCATATATGGCTTTTGCTTTGAATGGTAGAGTCTTAACTTGCATTTGTAGATGTAGTGACAAACTGTGCTTACTGATAATGGTTTTACAAAGTGTTCCCGACCCCATATAGTGATATCCTTTAAACAATCATGCCTGTTTTTAATGCAGTGTTGTCTGGAGGGTCAAAGGTCACAGGCATTCAGTACTGGTTTTCTCCAGATTCTCTGAATCTTTTGATGATGCTATGGATTGTAGATGGTGAAATTCATAAATTCCTTGCAACTGTACAGTGAGAAATGTTCTTAAACTGCTGGACTGTTTGCCTACACAGTGTTTCACAAAGGGGTGAACCTCGCACTGTCCTTGCTTGTGAGCAACTGAGACTTTCAAGGATGCCCCATTCATGCCCAATAATGATACTATGACCTGTTACCAGTTAACTTCCTTACCTGAGCATTATTCCAAACAGGTGTTTTTGAGCATTCCACAGTCATTTGCTGCCTCTGTCCCAACTTTTATGACACGTGTTGCAGGCACCAAATTCAGAATTAGTATGTATTTAACAGACTAACAATGAAGTTTAACAGTTTGAACATTACATATCTTGTCTTTGTACTGTACTCAATTACAAATAGGTCAAAAAGGATTTGCAAATCATTGCATTCTGTTTTTATTTACATTTTACACAATTATGGGTATTATGCTGTATAATAATGATATACAGCATGGTGCAGAGACATAGGCCATTAAACATATACATACAAGGCAAACTGATTCAAGCAATGACAGCAGGACAATACAGGAAAATGAACCTAGCATTACGATGACATAAATCTATGTAATGACTGGAGATTCAGTGTATTTGTTACTAAATAAATTCAGGCATTTAAGCGACGACCCAGACTTAAATTTACTGTCTTCTTCCAATAAACCAGCACCACACCCTTGTCATTGTTTCAGATTTTTCAAATTCTTGTTGTTGAATAAATGCAGAGTTGGTGAAGTCAGATAGTTAAAAAAAAAGCTGCATTCAGGTCTATTTGACTCAGAAAAGATGAACATCTTTAAGTCCTAGCCCAGATTTCATCTGTGCATACTGGGGGTGATAGCATAGTTCCAGTCCTATGATTTAAATTTTAGTTTTATGGCCACTTTTTTGCTTACATTTGGATGACACATCCTTTTTAAAATACATTTTTTCATCATAGGTTTACACAGAAAATGAGGAAACAAACTAAGTGACTGATTTAATTTGAAACAAACTAAACAAAGAAGTGCAAGCAGCACTTGAAATTTATACATACTAACATACAATCCATACAATCGCTAAGATGCTGTACGAGGAGGAGCACAGCCATGAACGTCACATATGACACAGACAGCTCTACCTCAAATAAAACCCAGTGAAGATAGTGTCATTATCCTCTGCTGCAAAGATGTCCATTCGACCCTCACCCCATAAACTGATCCAGACCTCATCTCTCTTAGACAGTCTGACCAAGCTGCTCATGCTGCTCACTTGACTACTGTTATAAATGAGTGAATCTGGCTCATTGACATAATACAGAGACACTACTTTCTCTCCGTTCTTGAGCAGAGCGCACTGTCTGCGTCCGTACACTGTCATGTGCACCATGAAGTGATACAGGCCATCCATGGGGCAGGTGAAGACGCCCGTGTTGGGACTGTAGCCTCCTCCCTCGTTGAGCAGCACTGTGGCAAACTTGAGGATTCCAGGCTGCTGTGGGTAGCTGTCGTCAATATTCAGCTTGGCTGTGAAGGCTACAGGTCTGTCTAATGAGGGCAGAGACAGTGATGGTGATTAGACTGCTGCCCAGTATAAATCTGTTACACTGTGATACAGTTCTCTTTCTAAATATTTTCAAAATAAAGGCTTGTCTGTCCTTGATATTGCACATGCAACAAAGCAAAATGTGTGTATGATAATTTTACATCATGATTGCTATATGTATTTATTCATTTTTAAAAGCGTTTACCATTTGCAGCAGGGTTGTCGTACGCCATGGCTGGAGGCTGAGGGTGCCGTGCCACATCTCTGTTAAGAACATAATCAAACAGCAAAAAGAATACATGTGAAAAATGTAAATATACTTTCAGTAATATAAGTTACTCTGACATATCCATTGCAGGATCACAAGTCATAGTCTGATTAAGTATTTCCAGACCTGTTTGATAAGATTTGATGGAAGAACACTAGAGATGCATTTACTGTCCAGTGATGAATGTTTTTGTGTCGTATGGCAGTTTGGTTAACAATCAAAAAGACACTTTGCAGTGACAGACGGGTGAATGAGCCTCATTCTTTACAAAATTCTTCAAATTCTTGTTGACTCACTTATAACAGAGTTGCTAATATACACTATTTATAGACTTCCTGTTTGCAAAGGTGGAGTTTAGTGATGGTAGGCTATTCAGAATATTACACTCCACATAGCTGGATTTGTCATGATCTCAGTGTTTCCTGAGTTGTTTGTGTTATGTGTGAGACACATCTAGATATGCTGTTATTGACCGTAATTTATATTTTGATCACATTTCTTTAAATTAATATTAATCTTATGCAACACTGCTACGACAAGTGGCAGGATAAAGGAGAATTTGTGAGTAAACCCGAGCCAGAAAGGAGATTAAGAGCAGCAGCCAAGGCCTGACAAACTGATTATCAGTTGCAGTGCCTCTGCCTCTGGTTGTTACGTGCTGTCCCTGCTTCACCTTTAGAAAAACACATATTTCAAAATGTTCTTGGCAAGAGAGCTGGCATTTCAAAACAGGTATTGTTGGCTGCGTGTCTCAACAAGCATGAAATGATAAGGGGTGCTTTAAAGGTGATGTAGTGTGAGAATATTGTACGCATGATAAGAAAAAAATCAGATACAGTACAGGCCAAAAGTTTGGACACACCTTCTCATTCAATGCGTTTTCTTTATTTTCATGACTATTTACATTGTAGATTCTCACTGAAGGCATCAAAACTATGAATGAACACATGTGGAGTTATGTACTTAACAAAAAAAGGTGAAATAACTGAAAACATGTTTTATATTCTAGTTTCTTCAAAATAGCCACCCTTTGCTCTGATTACTGCTTTGCACACTCTTGGCATTCTCTCCATGAGCTTCAAGAGGTAGTCACCTGAAATGGTTT